ATTTACTTTATTTGAAACTCTGATCTGAAAATATTTGTCAACAAGACTTGTTAGTAGTGAGAAGTACCAACCAAGTTTCCTTTCATAACTTAATTTCTTAAATGTGCCAATCACTGGATCTCCCAAAAAAATATTACATCTTTTTATTTTTGGTGCAAATTACAAGTCCTTCTTTATATAAAAATGAAAAGTGATAGTCACACTTCAATAATAACAGCTCTTAAGTTTACTTGTTGTTCTTCTCTGTCTGTCAGCTATCAATCAACAAGATTGTTTTATTCTTCGGGCAGTGCATAACTATTTGTGGACCAGAGTTCCAACGCACCTCTGTAATCGCATATAGCTACTCCTGTCTCTTGTACAAATGTTTCTCCTTTGTAAGACGCACTCTACTCTGTTGTCAATACTGCTTTAAGTTCAGTGGAAACGACTGACTGAGGAATCGAGATGGCGGTGTTGGAACGTGTTGCTGAACGCTTGCTACGGTCAAACTTTGTAGATTTAGGTACTGGTACACTGGGATCATCTATGTATCTCTTATACTTCCGAATGTGGTATCCTTCTTTTATAAATATGAGGGTAAAAGACGATTTGTAGTCGCATTCAAAACTGTGATTGGCTTGTGTTATTTCTCACCTTGGCCATTAACACAACTCAAGTGAGTTTCGAGTCTTTGTTTCCTCGACAACTTTCGGCCACAAATCGTGCATTTGTAATACGATCGATTCTTTTCGATTCTTTCTACATAGAGTGAGCTCACATCTTTATTTATATCACCAAGCTATCCATCTTCTAGAAGCAGAGAACCGGTCGGAGAAGTCAGAATAAAGTTGGGCGCTTCTCTTAACACTGCAATCGGCAAGTCAGCGGATTCACTTTGCTAGCCAATTACAAGTCCTAAAAGATCCACGTGATCATGCCCGTGATCGGAAACAAAGAAGACTCCATTTGGCGCTCATCTTTGAATGTACTTTGTATCGGTTGATCGCTTTTCTCAACTGTTTTGCTTAATATAACATTTCTAAAGATAGCTTTTATTGTGGTTCAATGGGAAAACGAGAATAGCGTGAGTGTTGTAAAAGAAAAGAAAGTCGTTGGCGCCGTGGAGTGAAAAGAAGGGACAACGGTTGACATATTGACTGGTACAAACAAGGGTCGAGTGGCCATCTGTAAAGCTACGATTTTGAAAGTTTGTGGTGAGTAAAAACTGCGATATTCGTTACGTGATCAAAATCTTATAAAAGAATAGATGTAGCGGGTTGAATTAAGCTTACATAACGCTCGGCGCAACTGAAACTAGAATAATTCTGAGAATCGAATCGGTCACTTGCATGCCGCAGTTTCTTAAGCTTATGCTTTACAATGAAATAAACCTATCAGTAAGGTTTCAAGATTCCTCTAGTCACGTTTGGGAACATTCAAGATTCATAATAGGAACTGTTATTAAACAAACCTTAGTACATAAAGAAGCCCTCCTTGGTAAAAACAAAATAATGTATTCAGCCCTTTTTTAGTAAAATCCATGAGAGAGATGTACTAACTCCAATATAAAAGTCACTCAATATAACAGAGATTTCTCAATTTGAGAATCCAATGAATGCCCTTTTCCTCATAGCCATCTTAAAAGCCTGGTCTGAGCTTTAAATATACATATTTTAATATATTATTTTTTTTCAAATTCAGATGTCAAGGAATCCAGATACAAAATGGTCAAGGTTCTTGTTGACAACCTCATTCAAGGCCAACTCATTGTGAGCCCAGGAAAAAAAATACAAACAGTACAAACAGCAGCTAAGTTTGCAGTTTAGGATAACTTTATTCTAATTTATTGTTACAGTTACAACAAGATTTTAATCAAAAAATCAATTTTATTTGTCTGTAATTAGCCCCTTCACTCCCAAGAGTGCTTGGTTTTCAAATATAACTTAAGATATTGTATTTTATGGAAAAGAATCAACAGGTTTTATTCACAATTTGTGTCAAACCAAATTTAATGATTGATTAGAACTATTTTATATGAATAGCTGTAATTGAGGATTAATCCGTATGAAGTTTTCAAGAAAAGAAAAATAAATCAAATTCAATCCTAATATTACCACACATTGATGTTCATTAATCAAAAATATTTTACATGTAAGCCTTAATTAAGCTTCTAAATAAATTTCATTGAATACTTGAATTTTAGCTGGGTTTTTTTTAATTTAAAGTATTTATTTTATATCATTAGCCTCAAATTTTTGCTTAAAATTCCCAGTAATTCTTAAACATTCCTAAAGATTCCCAGAAATTCCCAGAAATTCTTAGGAATTTTTTAGATTTACAGCTTTTCAGGGAAAGTCATTGGTTCTCTGAGTTGGAATTCCTAGGAATTCCTAGGAATTCCAAGTCCTGTTGGCTATAAACTTGGAATTTCTGGGAATTTCTAGGAATTTCTAGGTTTTTAGAACCAGAGTTGTTATGGTTGGGAATTCCTAGGAATTCCTAGGAATTCCCAGTCCGAATTTACCGTGAAAATTCACACCTTTATTCCTAGGAATTCCTAGGAATTCCAAAAGCCATTTCGCAAGGGCTGTCTCTCAACTGTCAGTTTATATATATATATATATATATATATGTATGTTAATTATACACATCCACATGAGGGCACAGTTCCTTGAAACAAATGATCTTGTCTTAAAATTTTGCAACCATTGCTTGGCTGGTTGTTCTAACCAGGAAGGATCCTGGGAAAAGAAGTCCATTTCCAGTCTGCATGATCTTCCTCAAATAAAAATCAAAGCTTTGTTTTGCACATCCTGCTTTTTCTCAAAAAAATTAAACAACTGCTCTGTCTCTGATAAGCTCCGTACTTCGAATATGTGCCTCTCTTGTGGTACTAAAAGTAACTAAGATTTTGAATCATTATGGTACCTGTTAACCTGCTCCTGTGTTGGAGGAGGAAAGTGACATAGTTGCCATTGGTTTAAATTTCACATCACACCTATTTGGTTGAGTGAGGGGTAGGTTTTCTCAACCAATAGCATGGCTTAGTATAGCCTAGTAAGGTAAATCTATTGCAATTCCATATTTTTTAGAGATTCAGTTCATTTTAACCCTTTCCACCCCAACATCAGTATGCATTTTCTCCATACTGTTCTCTATTTATTTCCCATGGTACTGACAAAGAGAATTTGGTTGACAATCAAGAGCTTCTTTAGTTGTTGATCATTTCCATTATTCTCATGACTTCAATGTTTGCTTTAGGGCAATACTGATAGGAGAAAGTAGTTACTAATCACTCTTAAGGGTTAAAGGTTTAACAACTGCTGATATCCATTAGGATAAGGGAGTATCTTAAAAACATCCAGCCCTTACTAATACTTTACAATTCTTCTTTGGATGGTAAGTCCAGGAAACTGGATTTGGTGATATGAGCCCTTGGGAAAGAAACCAGTGGTGATGTAACGGGTAATTTTAAGAGTGAGAAGGATAGTTCCATTTCATAAACTCTTTACACCAATACACACAGGGAGTATTGAATAACATGAGAACTTTTATACGAGTGATCACTCAATAGTGAATGTATGGTTAGCCCTCTGAACCCTAAGAGTGAGTAGCATCTAAAGTGCCTTTCAATATTACCCTTAAATGAAACATTAACCCTTTAACTCCCAGAAGTGATTAACATAAAACTTCTCCCTACAATATCCATACATTCTTTAGCAAACTGTTAATGAGAATATTCAAACTTATCAGGTAGAAGCTGCTATCTTGATCTAGCACCAAATTCTCATAACTTATTTACAAGGACATATGTAGCAGCTACAGGGGAGAATTAACAATCAGATCTTGGGAGTTAGAGGGTTAAGTAAACCCTTAAACTCATAAGAGTGGCATAAATATTATTTCTCCTCAAACTGTTACCCCTGAATTAAACATTTAAGGTAATGACAATAAAGGAATGAACTCCAACCAAAGTAGCTCCTGATTGTTCAACAAATTCTCCTTTTCAGCACTCAGGAAATATATAGAGAACAGTATGGAGAATATGCATACTGATGTTACAGTGTAAAAGGTTAATGGCGAATGGGTGCTCATGAGGAATTTCACCCTAATGATATAAATTTTACTGCTTTCAGTTGTTGTTGCATTCCATTTTGTACTGATTGTGCCAAGGATGTTGCTCATCTATGTCCCAATTGTCATAAGGAGATAGGTGTCTATAGGCGTCCAGTTGCTGAATCAGGCGGAGGGGGTGGTGGTGGAAACACCGGCTATGACCGAAGCAATGCCCATGGTCCAGCCGACGATTATGTGGGTCCATCTGATGATTAATGGCAAAAAGAAACAAGAAGAAACATGCATGATGGTTCATCGAATTTATGGTCAGTTACTGAACCTTCATGCATTAACTTGCATGCTAGCTTTGAAAGTCAGTTGTAGATTGTGCAAATGTATGTGCCATTGTATTTAAGAAAAGGCAATGACATTACTGACTGAATACAATGTAAATGTGTTCTTTTGGATAAATGTCTGTAACAAGTTGTTATTAATAGCTATGCTAGTATGCATCATTTGACTGTTTAGTAGTTTTCATATTAGCCTAGTGCTTAAATAGCAGCCAGGCAACATAGGGTTTGTATTATCAACTTTTGGATAGCCAAACATTTTGCCTGCTTCTTTACACATTTAAAGAATTTGTCTGGCCAAAAATGAATTTTGTCTGTGCAAAAATAGGTTTTTCTGGACAACTTGGCAACTTAAATCCTTGAGGCCACTGTAAATGTATCAGCTATCTTTTACTAATTTTGATTATGGTACTGTGAGAAGTTAACAACAGAACAGCAATGAAAGAGAAATTAAGAAACCTGGGATCCTTACAATAGATAAAAAAGAAAGGGAAGGAAACCTTTTAAAAAAAACCTTAAAGTCAGATGTGATACTTTAGGCAAGAAAGGGGAGGTAGAGAGGTGGAAACCTGTGTTTTGATTTTACTTCTTATAGATTAGAATCAACAGGAAATTTATTATATAATCACATTACATCATCTTGAACTTGTCAGAGTCATTAACATGTGCCAGAGCCTGAGTTTTGGTTGGAAGAAAACTACAAATTCAGACTTGTCAACAGGTATTCTAATTGATCTAGGTAACCAGTATGGTATTTGGTTGATTCCTCATGACAGTTGCTAGTACTGGATGGGTAATCTGTGTCTCATAAGGGCTCCTAGAAAGGTTAAGATATTGATGTCATTAATGAGACAACAGGGTTGAAAGCTACTGTAGAATTCATAACAAATAAACACAATAATTCTTCTGAATTTAAGTTTAACTGATTCTAACTATATCATTTCTTTATGCTGTGAGGGAAAAAAAAATTTCTTTATGCCTACTATTATTAAAACTACATGTAGCCCTGGAGAGTTTTTGAGTCAGTCAACTTCAGTTTGGCAAATCATAATCTGCTTGTGGTGTAAAGTATTTTGAATCCTCGTCAGATGATTACCCTGCTCTGATGTGCAAATTGTTAATTAGACCTAGATAGGTATAAATTTTGTGCAGACCATACCTTTTTCTGTCATATTAAGTCAAGAGGGGAGTTTGTTAAAACTTGTTAAATATTCAATGTTTACTCACTATTGAGGCCTTAGCCAAATTCACTCCCAAGATCTCATTAGTGATTCTCCTTACTACCTCCTAGTGTGGAGAATTTGGTATGGATCACGTAATAATCCCCTAATTGATACTTTTTTTTTACGTCCCTATTCTGCTTGATATTTTGTTGATATCAAAAGGAGAAATTCTGTCTTGTGCTCTTTTAATTAATCAGTAATTACTCCATAAAGACATCAATGAGTTATCACACACACATTAATTTCTCATTGATGTCAATGATCATTTGTTAGCTACTTATAATAAAACGGTACATCAATACTAAAATAAAGTAACAAAGGTATAAATGTATACAATGTTGAGGACATAAACATTGATTAACACTTTTCAAGCTAATTTTATATTTTAAGAACACTACAACTTGAAATTCCATAAGTTCGCTGACATGTTAATCAAATACTCAGCAAAGAGAACGTGGAAGCAGCAAGTCTTCCTCCATGTCCTTGTTTGTCTATCTTCCATCTCGTGTAACTTTTATTTACTACAAATCATGTTGGGCCCCTTGTCTAACCCTTGCTGTATTCCTAAATAGTTTGTGCAAAAGATATCTTTCTTCTTGGCCTGTGAAAGACCATTTCATTTTGCCTCTGTTTGCTTGTTACATGTTGAAGTTGGCATGTAAAGCAATTTAGGTGACAGAGCTGTCACCTAACTGAAGATTGCCATCAGGACGGAGCTGGTCTAAACACCCCATGTGTCCCGGCTGTGGACATTTGGTGAAGACACCTGATTTGTAGCGCATAACCCCACTCTTCATTCCTATGTCATACCAATGCTCTACATGCTTATAAATATTAGGTCCATATCGATTTCGAGCAGAAAGTCCTGGATTGCGCATGGCAGTAGCCCACTGACCAGCAAACATCACTTTAGTTGGCTGCTGACCATTAGCTACAAGCATCTCAGACTCAAGCCTAGGTTTACCATAAACGTCAACACCCCAGCCATTTCCATAGATTACAAAAATGCCGGATGTCTTGCGTCCATCTGTGCAGCATTCAGTTCCTTTTCTATCGTCAAATTTATAGCCTGCTGCTTCAAATCTTGGACGAAGCTTTTGAAATGCTGTGTAGTTCTCTGAAGGAAATTGGATGTCAGCATCACGTTCCCATGGCAAAACCCCCTTGAATTTAACAGCTCCTAAAACAGAAGCACACTTAAGTTAACTAGTATGAGATGATGCACTGAAAAGTATGCCAATTTTGTTCAACCACCATGATGGTGGTGGTCATGACCATAGCAATGGTGTCTCCTTCAGTTCATTGCATAATGTTAGTTTCACATCAGTTTCTTTTCATTTGGCTTGATAATTGATATTACAAAACAGCCTTAAAACAACAGCTACTCACACTCAAAGAAATTTCCTTTCTTTCCAACCAAAAGGTATTTCTACACTTTACTGGTACATAAAATTATAGAATGTATGGGTATGATGAAGGTTAAAACTATCTGTCACCAACTATTTGTCAGTTCTATTGTGAAGACAAACCTGTTTGAATCCTAAAGGGGTGGTAACAGACTCAATTTAAACTGCACCTCCCCAATACAAAATAGGCACAAAAGCACATTACCTAATAGAGTTCCTGCATTAAGTTCACAATAAATCCCAGCATTTTCACATTCCTTCATGATAAACTTGACTATGTCAGCAAGATTCTCCAAGTCACAAGGAGGAACAGCGAGTCCTGTGGCTGGTATACCACAGGACGATTTATTATCACGGGCATGCCCTCCTCTTCGGCACCCATACCAACGCACTTGCCCATTAGACTCCACCCATTTCTTCACATCCCATTTCTGGGCCAGGGCATCATATTTTTCATCTGGAATTTCTTGCTCATAAATATTGAACATGACATCAGGACAGCTGGCAACAACTTTCTCTGGATGTTTGAGTTTTAATCGCCAGAATATGTCTTGAAAGGAACCAAAATGTAGTCTGGAAAGCATGAAATAGTAGTTGAATTATTGAGCCGAACAAACTAGATTGACAGTTTTCATTAACAGTCCTCAAACTAGCTTATGGTGGAGGTAAAAAGACTCTTTAGAATTCTTCCTCATTTCAAGACTTAGCTAATGATATTTCCTTACCCAAAACTAATACCCAGCCTCAATAACCATTTCAGACCTCCATGCTCATTTTTTTACCACTTGGGTAGTGTTCATTGCTGGTATATGATTTTCATAAATTCACAATTGTTTAAAACAACCCAAGTACTCAGGAAGCACCCTTTCTCACTTAAAACTGTACTCCTTTATATTTCTTTTCTTCTCCCAATAAAACTATAATTTTTATACTGAATTGTAATTTTTACTTACTTTTCATCAATTCCAAAATCCTGGAGTTCTTTGGTTCTTGCCATAAATGGACCAAGCAGCACATCACATTGTACACAGTCATTAAATGAGTGGTAATACCCATCTGAAAAGTATGCAGTCCAATTTCTGAATTGCACTTGACGACAGCTATTGTCCCACTCCCCCCGTTGATTCTTTTGGCTTCCCCCTACAAGGATGGTATCCCTGTTCTCACTCAGTACCCGTACAAGGCGTTCAAGATTAACATCATCAGTGAAGTAAGTGATATCTGGTGCAAAGAGTGCATAGGGTGTGGCCACCATCTTGAGTAACTTGGACCATGTTTCTCCATGTGTAAGGTCATCAAATGCCATGAAAGTAAGTCTTAAACGTACTTCTTTCAGCCACTTGAACTTCAATGTTTTGTTTGAAACAAATATTACAGGTACACTTGGATAATATGTGGAAACTCCTTCAAACACTTTTCTCAGCTTTTCAGGTGATAGTTCCTTTGGTGATGTCATAATCATAGTCACAAGTTCATCAATTGGGACAAAGTCTGTGCAATTTTCTCCTTCAAAACCTTTCCTATAAAATGGGAATCCATAAGAAGAATCCTTTCCCATATATTTCTCAGGGCAAACCTCTCTCTTTTTAACATAAGTTTCTGGAGAAGAATTGCTGGAAACAGTGTCCTTTTGCAGTGGCTGTCCATCCACAGATTTTATCAGTTGCTTTACCAGCTCAATATTTCGTTCAACTTTGTAGAACTGCAATGGTAAATGTACCAAGCTGCGCTGTGTCTCAGAAAGGTCTACTGCTAGACGTCTTAAATCACTTGCCAGTACTTGTGAACGACTCCTAGTTGTAATGTGAAGATATGATGAGAAAAATTTCACTAATACAAGGGTTAAGATGACAACTGTCACAAAGAAGAGCTGCAGTTTTCTCATGGTGCTGGTTGTTGAAATGGCTATGCACAAGACTTAATTTGTGGGATCTGTCGTGGCTCTTAGAACACCTTCAAATTCTGTGAAAAAAAAAAAAAAAAAAAAACACTCAATTTTTGGGACATCTCACAGTACAGGGCAGGAAGAGAAGGGAATGCATGGTGTATGCATGGCACATGTTGCAGATAAATTACCAGATTTCAGTGCCATGACAATTTCCTACATTAATTTTAAGTCGTGTTGGGCATATCTAAATGGCTTTTAAATGAGTACAAAGTGAGTTCAGTGGACTCGACATTGCACCCGTCCATAATCAATTTCCCTAGTTCAGTGTCTCCCAGTCTTAGCTACTTAGAGCAAAGTGACCCATCTAAGTAGGTGCAAAGCCCAATAGCGTTTAACTCAATAGATCGCATGCACGTGCAAAGAAAAGAAAACATAAGGAGCTCTGCTTGTAAACTTAGTTTTGGATCAAAATTCCTAATATATCTAATACCTTTGGTTAAGCACGCAATATTGCTCATACTTCGATTGTATCTCCATGACGTTTTCGAAAGAAGACTTGAATCGTTTATTGAGTCATATAATAACTTATTATCACTCGAAGTACGTGTCAGCACATGGGAACCGCGGTGTTTCCCAAAGGGTTGTTTTCAGCTCGCCCGTTGTTAGCTTCGTAGGTTCTTAATAAAGACAAGTCGCTTTTACGCTGCTGGTTACAATACAATAAATAAGATAAACTATTATAAGATAGTTTTCTGTAAACATTACTAACTGCCGGGCATTTAGTCTATTTGAGACCGTGCTCGGCTGCCGGTCATTTCAGTATTTGCAGCGAATAACGAAAGAAAGATAGAGAAAAATATATGTATGTATACCGATGACTATGGGCCTTTCCGCTCGGGCGAAAAAGTTGTTTACAAGACAAATTTTTTTTCATCATGAACATTTAAAAATGCAGATGGTTTGTCATGACTTGACAAATTTTGGCCGAAGCGGACAAATTTTCGAACACAGCGCCGACAAATTTGCCCCAATTGTCTAATTTGACAAAGTTTGTCCTTTGGGACAAATCTAGTTTTGTCCGCTAGAGCGGAAAGGCCATACAAAAAACCGTGCAAAAACTGTCTTTCATTCTCACCACATCTATTTGCTGAAGCATGAGAACTTTAGAGGGATCCTCTTGAGATTGAAGTACCCAGAGAAGCTCATTAATTCCACCATGACTAGATTTATCGAGTCGCGAAACCAATTACAAGTTCGCAATGTTCAAGCAAATGCGCCCGTTCAGATTATTCTGCCATTCGAGGATGAAAGATGAGGGTGGCAAAATACATTTACATATCACGCTAAATTTTCCTATTAAAATCACTCATCCAGAATCTTTTAACCAATCACGCGTCACGTGAAAAGGAGAAAGCACGCTAAGCTAATACAATAAGTTTCAACCTATTGGATGTATTATCAAAAATCATATTGTATCCAACGTTTTTTTATTCTGGAATGAATTGCGTTTTGGCCGGCAAAGTGAATGTTGGGGTGGATCTTGACCAACTGGGTGACGATTGGGGATTGCATTAACTGGAAACTATCCAAGAGGATTGGCACTTGGAAGGTGAAGAGTCACAAAATCCAATCCGAGTAGACCCCTTTTGGAGAAAAGTTGATGACCTGAAGGATACCACGTGTGAAAAAAATTCTCCCCTGTTGTGAATGTCATAGAGACAGCTCGTGTTCTCAGACATGAGAGGTCGAAAGGGGATTTCAGAGAATGGTAAAAGTGTAACCGATGAAAGAGTTTGTCTAATTGAAGTCTCAATCAATGGAATTCGTGCAACTGAACGCTTTTCAAGGTCCTGGTCCTGTGCCTGTCACAAAATAGCTACTTCAGATGGGCGTTGCGCCCAAAAATAAGCCCAAAGGAAAGGAGGAGGCCCAGAAGCAGCTTACTCTGCAGAAAGAGAAAGCACGGAAAATGGATACCCAGAAGCAAACGTTTGCTGAAGAAAGGAGGAAGGAAAAGCAGAGAGAAACAGAAACTACAGCAAAGAGAAATAGCGGTAAAGGCAAGAAACAGCTCGGCGAGATAGCACTCCTACCCAACAAACGTAAGCGTTATCTGAGAGACCGCTGAGTCATGAAAACGCACTGACTTAGGTTCTACGAAAACACAGAAGGGACAACTCCATCTCTTAATTCATTCTTGCCGGCGAGAGATTTTTTTAATATCACCTTCCCTAAAATACCGGGAGCACATCTTTTTATCTTCAGTTACCTTGAAGAGCATTCCCTCGTCTCCTCTTCTTGCGTGTAGCCATTTTTTTTTCCACCGGATTCTTGGTCGGAAATTTAAAATAAGACACTTTTATCCCATCGTCTTTCCGTTATCTTTTCTTCCTACTTTCTGGAACACAACAAGGAGTCGGCATTTCCTCTTATTGGAAATAATTCGACCGAATCGAGTCAAAACAGATAACCTATTCAACCTTTGTTGACCTTTTGCTTTGTATATGTAATCACATGAGGCCAAGTACTATTAAGGATTAATTGCACGAGAGTTTTCAAAATTTTCCAAAATTGCCCGAGTCGCGAAGCGACGAGGGCAATTTGGAAAATTTTGAAAACTCAAGTGCAATTAATCCTTAATAGTACGAGGTCTCATGGGATTACTTGTTTATCAATAAAGGGCAAAATTTATACGAAGGAAAATCACGCGCGCAGTCTATTTTTTAACAAATTTCAAGATAACGAACGGTTGCTATGCAACGGATTAGCCAATCATTAACAGGTAATCATGCCCTCTCTTGATTACTAAAAATGCCCTCGATTAAGAAAAAATGCCCTCTCTCTCAACCAATCAGCGCTCAGTAATTTTGCCCTTTATTGATAACAGTTGTTATCTTCTGACCTCGATGTCATGTTTGAGTAATTACCAGTCCCGCGCGTCGTCCGCCATCATGAAAGTTGTGTAATTTGGGCTCCATTGTTGGTGAAACAAACTCGTTGTTTGCCCAAGATTAAGTGGATCAATACCGGCATCTGATCAACTGCGCACCTTCCCCTCCCTTAACCCAACATCAGTAAACTGATAACAAGTCAGAGTTAAGCCGGGTTGGGGAGGGGTAGGTATGCAGCTGCTCAGATACTGACACCATGGGCAGACCACACTATGTGTTCTTAGTTAGTAATCGTTGACATAACAAAATCTATGTGGGTTATGAATAAAGATCTGAAGATTGAATATCTAAATTACATCTCAGGCTGAATATTTCAGTAAAGTTAAATGAAATGTTAATCAACACATTTGTGATATTTCTAAACCGGGATATAATTTAGATATGCAGTTTTCAGAGCTTTATTTCATAGATTTTGTTTGTCTCATGTTGTTAATTGGTACTTTTTGTTATTCGCATCACTTGTCTGCTTGATATTATGTTGATATCAAAAGAAGAAATTCTGTCTTGGTCACTCGTAATTAATCAGTAAACACTGCATAAAGACATCAATGAGTTATCACACACTCATTGATTTCTCATTGATGTCGATGATTATTTGTTAGCTGCACATAGTAAAAAGGTACATCAATCCCAAAATAAAGTAACAGGTATAAATGTATATAAGGAGATAAACACCTTTCATGCTAATTTTATATTTTAAGAACACAACAACTAAAAATTCCACAAGTTCACTGACATGTTAATTGAATACTCAGCAAAGAGAATGTGGAGGCAACAAGCCCTCCTCCATGTCCTTGTTTGTCTATCTTCTATCTTACTCAACCTTTATTTACTACAAATCATGTTGGGCCCCTTATCTAACCCTTGTAATATTCCTAAACAATTTGTGCAAACGACACCCTACTTCTTAGCTTTTTAAAGATCATTTCCATAAACAGCTACCTTGATACATTTCATAAAATTTGCCGCTGTTTGCTCATTCCATGTCCTTGCTGTGAAAAAAATTAAGTCATGAAGTAGTCACCAAATTGAAGATCGCCATCAGTGCGGAACTGGTCTAGACACCCCGTGTGTCCAGGCCTGGAACATTTGATCCAGACACCCGATTTGTACAGCGCATCCCCATTTGCGTTTCCTACAACTGCCCAATGCTCTACATGATGATACATGTTGGGTCCATATCGATTACGAGAGGAAAGTCCTGGATTGCGCGTGGCAGTAACCCACTGACCAGCAAACATCACTTTAGTTGGCTGCTGACCATCAGCTACAAGCATCTCGGACTCAAGTCTAGGTCTACCGTAAAAGTCAACACCCCAGCCATTTCCATAGATTACAAAAATGCCGGATGTCTTTCGTCCATCTGTGCAGCATTCAGTTCCTTTTCTATCATCAAATTTATAGCCTGCTGCTTCGAATCTTGGACGAAGCTTTTGAATTGCTGTGTAGTTCTCCGAAAGAAAATAGATGTCAGCATCGCGCTCCCATGGCAAAACCTTTTTGAATTTAACAGCTCCTAAAACAGAAGCAAACAAAAGTTAAGTAATAGGAGATGATGCCATGAAAATGATGTCAATTTTGTTCAACCACCATGATGGTGGTGGTCATGACCATAACAATGGTGTCTCCTTGACCTCCTTCATTTCATTGCATGATGTTTGTTTCACATCAATTTATTTTTATTTAGCTTGATAATTGATATTACACAACAGCCTTAAAACAACAGCTACTCACACTCAAAGAAATTTCCTTTCTTTGCAACAAAAAGGTATTTCTACACTATACCGGTACACAAAATTATCGAATATGTGGGAGTGACCAAGGTCAAAATTATCTTCTTCTGAATTTTTTTGTCTGTTCCATTCTGAAGACAAACCTGTTTGAATCCCAAAAGGGGGAAAACAGACTCAATTTGAACTGCACCTCCCTATTACAAAATAGGCACAAGAGTACATTACCTAATAGAGTTCCTGCATTAAGTTGACAGTAAACCCCAGCATTTTCACATTCCTTCATGATAAACTTGACTATGTCAGCAAGATTCTCCAAGTCACAAGGAGGAACAGCGAGTCCTGTGGCTGGTATACCACAGGACGATTTATTATCACGGGCATGCCCTCCTCTTCGGCACCCATACCAACGCACTTGCCCATTAGACTCCACCCATTTCTTCACATCCCATTTCTGGGCCAAGGCATCATATTTTTCATCTGGAACTTCTCGCTCATATATATCGAACATGACATCCGGACAGCTGGCAACAACTTTCTCTGGATGTTTGAGTTTTAATCGCCAGAATATGTCTTGAAAGGCACCGAAATGTAATCTGGAAAACAAGAAATAGTAGTCGAATTATTGAGCTTATCAAACCAGATTGACAGTTTTCATTAACGGTCCACAAAATAGCAGAGGGTGGAGGTAGAAGTCAAATACACCATGAAAACTTTCTGTAAGCATTTTTAAGAAGACTCCTTAGAATTCTACTCTAAGGTGGTACACCATCTTAAATGAAGCTACCCAAAACATTTTGACCACCTTCCATCCCTGTGAACAAAAACAACCAGTGAATATGAAAGTGATCTTCGCAGTAATGAACACTACTTGAGCAGTAGTGAAAGTAAGGCATGAAAAAAGTGAGGCCTGTACAGGATTTGAACCCATCACCTCTGCGATACCGGTGCAGTGCTCTACCAACTGAGCTAACAAGCCAACTGGGAACTGGTCATTATGTTGGTTCCAAATAAACCCATGAAGTGATGAGTAAATGACTGTGAAGATATGAAAATCATACATGTGAACTGCGAATGAAAACGATTTGTTAGTTCAGTTGGAAGAGTAGGTTCAAATCCCGTACAATCCTGAATTTTTCTCAGGTTTTGTTTTCACTACCACTCAAGTAGTGTTCACTACTGCGAAGACCACTTTCATTTTCACGTCTTTATCTGTAGTTCACATATATGATTTTCATATATTCACAGTAATTAAAAAACAACCAAACAACTCAGGAACCACCCTTTCTGACCCAAAACTGTTCTCCTTTCCGTTTCTCCTCTTCTCCCAATAAAACTTAAATCTTTATACTGCATCGTAGTTTATACTTACTTTTCATCGATTCCAAGATCCTGAAGTTCTTTGGTTTTTGCCACAAATGGACCAAGCAGTACATCACATCTTATACAATCATTAAACGAGTAGTGATAGCCGTCTTCAAAATATGCAGTCCAATTTCTGAATTGCACTTGACGACAGCTATTGTCCCACTCCCCCCGTTGATTCTTTTGGCTTCCTCCTGCAATCATGACATTCCTGTTCTCACTTAGTACCCGTACAAGGCGTTCAAGATTAACATCATCCGTGAAGTAAGTGATATCCGGTGCAAACAATGTATAGGGTGTGGCCACCATCTTGAGTAACTTGGACCATGTTTCTCCATGTGTAAGGTCATCAAATGCCATGAACGTTAGATTTAAACCTTCGTCTCTTAGCCTCTTGAACTTTAATGTTTTGTTTGACACAAATATTACAGGAACGCTTGGATAATGTGTGGCAATTCCTTCAAACACTTTTCTCAGCTTTTCAGGTGATAGTTCCTTTGGTGATGTCATAATCATAGTCACAAGTTCATCAATTGGAACAAAGTCTGTGCAATTTTCTCCCTCGAAACCTTTCCTATAAAAAAATGGGAATCCATAATTAGAATCCTTTCCCATAAATTTCTCGGGACAAACCTCTCTCTTCTTAACATAAGTTTCTGATGAGGAATCGCTGGAAACGGTGTCCTTTTGCAGTGGTTGTCGATCCACAGATTTTATTAGTTGCTTTAAAAGCTCAATATTTCGTTCAACTTTGTAGAACTGCAATGGAAAACGTACCAAGCTGCGTTGTGTCTCGGAAAGGTCTTTTGCTAGACGTCTTAAATCACTAGCCAGTGCTTGTGAACGACTCCTAGTTGTAATGTGAAGATACGATGAGAAAAAGTTCACTAAGGTGAGGGTTATGATGACAACTGCCACAAAGACCCGCAGTTTTCTCATGGCGCTGGCAATTAAAATGTTGATGCACAAGACTGTTTTTTTGTGGGCTTTGTCGTGGCCTGTATTACACGTTCAAATTCTGTTAAAAAGAAAAGAAAGCGCACTCAATTGTTGGGACATCTCACAGTGCTGGGCGGGATTGGATTTAGTCTCAATGAATGGAATTCGTGCGACAACTGTTGGACTGAAGGCTTTTCAAGGTCCTGGTGCAGACTATACAGACCATGTAGACCGTGCAGAGCGTGCAGAGCGATCTTTGTTCTCTGGAGAATTTCGACTGTTACAGCTCACGAGACACTGACACTAGTATTATGTGGTTTTTCAGCCTAAGAAAAAATACGTTTTCCCACCTATAAATTTTATTTACGTCTCGGTGGACGTTAAACGGAAGTCAAAAAACTTTGCTGGAATTGGTTTTTGACTGGATGATAAGCAGAAATAAACAACAAACGAATGCCTTCTTGAATGCCGCAACATTGCTGGTGCATGATGCGTTGAGTGCCTTGTTTTTTCTCCAGAACTGTGAGTCAACCAGTACAACTCAAGTCTGAACCAGATTAAAGCACTTCTTTTCGCTTCTACAGTATAAAACAAAACTGAAGGCTTCCATTGCGATTCGAAATATAAGAAAAAACCTTGAATCACTTTCCGGCGAAACATTCTGCAAGTTTGGGAGAGTCACTGATGTTTGTCAAATGCAAACTTCAAATACTGTAGACAACCTTAATCTAGGAAAAGCGTTTTGCCTCTTTCTTGATTAAATAATACACTTACGAACTAAAGAGGAGCTGAGGGGAAGTGCACTTATAATTTGTTGTTTATTCTCCATCTGATGGTAATTTATCGTAGCCGACGTCGACCTTTCAAACGCATCAAATTATTTCGTCATAACCCAAGTTCTAAACAGCGATAAATGCAAACCAACAGTACCACTTTTTGTTCTATATTTTCGATTTCTGGTAAAATGAAAAAAAATACTCATGAAACCCTAGGTCATGTCTGCTGTTCACTTGGAAATTTTCCCATTAATTTTCATTTCACACACACTCAGTACATGCATTGCGATAGAATCGGAGACTAAGTTGGGCACAACTGACATGCCCAGTTCCTTACTAGCTATCAATCAGTCTTCTACTCCGATTCGAAAAGCTTATCTCCTAGTAAGTTCGATTTTAACTTGCAGCACTTTCTTTACTGTAAAGCTTTTTGGACTGTCTCTTGAAGACCCAGGTAATCATTTGCTTTGTTCACACAACCCATTCCTTACCTCTAACTCAGAGTCACAGACCACACAAATTACATTTGCAATAAATCTTGCCGCGTGACCAATCTTTATGTGCTCGAGAAACTTAAGCCCGCGATTTGCTAAGTAACGTGAGCTCGAAATAACCTCGTAAAATTTCGTCAACTCATAGGGTGTCCAAAAATTGGAAACAGTTCAAACGTTACCAAAAGAGTAAGAAAAAGGTGTATACACATTAATCATATATAAATCACAGTTTAAGAAAAAAAGGCAGACAAAAACTTGCAGTCTGCACGGTCTGCACGGTCTGCATGGTCTACATGGTCTGCACAGTCTGCAGTCTGCAGTCTGCGTTTTATCATGACCGCTGTGCCGGTCACAAAATAGGTACTTCAGATGGGCGTTGTGCGCATGCCCACTATGTTACGTCTGGAAACGGAGCGCAAAGGAAAGGAAGAGGCTCAGAAGCATCTTACTCCACAAAAAGAGGAAGCACTAAAAATGGTGCCTAGAAACAAATGTTTGCTAAAGAAAGGAGAAAAGCAAAAGCAGAGCGAAACAGAGAGAAAAGCAAAGAGAAACAGCTGTAAAGGCAAGAAACAGTTCAGCAAGACGACATGGAAGTTGGAGAAGCAACTCTGAAGGATGCAAATGAAAAATTTCAGGGTGCTTTAAAGAATATAGCGCCCAGTGCAAGTTTTACAGATCCATAACACATCACAACTTCTCCTCTCTATCTTAACTACTTGTGCTGTAATGCTGAAAACTCACGCCAAGAGTCGCACTTCAACCAATGATATCGCATAAACACCCTCCGTAATGAATTAAACAAGACTCGCAAATTAAATCAAAGTTTTTCTCAATAAAAAGTGAACAAGCCTCCAAAAAATGCATTTGGAGGGGTGCTTTGGCACAATCGCGTGAAAATGAGTACAATTCTCACCAGTCATAACACAAATAACGATAAGAAGTATGTGAGACGATTTGGCACAATCGCGTAAAAATGAGCATAATTTTCACCAGTCACAACCCAAATTATGTTCTTGACATGTCTCAGCGTGCCTCTTAATTTTTTCTTGTTAATTCTTATCTTTTTAAGTATTTTATTTAAAATGATATCAACTGAATGTTAATCAAGACAAAGGATAAGTTCTACAATCAATTTTTGTTTTCCATGGCTGATATTTGTAATTCCTTCTGATCTTGAGCATTTGTTGTATCTTGCTTGTCTCTTTTTTGTCAATAATGGTGTCAAAGTACAATTGTGAGCGTTTTTTATCGCCTTTTATTGTTATTTCTTGTCTTAGTTAGCCATTCTTTCTTTCAGTTCTTTTTCATTTTCTATTTTTAAATTGTTTTACATTGTTTCCGACCTTTTTACGAGTTTTTAATGGATTGTAACGAACGTTTAAGAGCTTTTTGTCGTATTTCTGAGCGTATTCTTCAGTGTGAGAACCTTCAACATTTTCAAGACTCTTTTTATTACATGATGGAGTGAAATAATTAATTCGATTGATGGATTCCTGTTTTTGTCTTTGAAAATGTGGTTAATTTTGTTTGACAAGTGCCTTTTGAATCGTGTTTCAATGTGTT